TGATTTTAGGACATAAAGAAAAATTTAGTTAGGATTATTTTTCAAGAAAATGGACCTCTCCAATCTGTTGGGGGGAACATGATTGAAACCCCCACAATGTTACACTCTGACACCCGTTACAGCGTTGGTACTGCTGTTTCCAGCCAATGACTGAGCAGGGATTCTAAAGCAGGCTCAGTACAGGGAGGTGTGTTGGATGTCTCTGATATTATATCTGACTTTGGCTCAGACTCCCTGCTGGGCTTGCCAAATTTTCTTAAAACTGTACTGCAGTCTAAGACCTTTTTCCCTCCCTCCCTATTTCTCTCTCTCTCTTCTTTCCTTCCTTCCCTCTCTCCTTCTCAGAGGTCAGACCTGAAGTGTGTTCTTTTAGCTCTCCCAGCCTCCCTACAGCTCTTTCCCTATTTTCCCACAGAGATGTTTCTCCCGATAAACCTCTTGCACATCTAATCCAGTCTTGCTATCTACTTCTCAGAGCACCTGGACTAATACACAAGAATTCTGTTTGCCTTGGCTTAAAAAAAAAAAAGCGAAGAAGGAGAAATGAGTGTAGAAATTTCCTATATTGTTATGTATAAATTAAATCTAAGAAATACATGTAAAACTGATTAGGTTTAGTTTGTTATTCTTATTTAAAAACTATTCAAAGGAACAGTTTGCTTAAGGACCTATTTAAAAAATAAATTTCAATTATCCATTATATTGGTTTTATGGACATATTTATTGTATAAACATAAAAGTTCCTCCTCCGCTTAACGAAATACACAATCTTTTAGCTTAGTCTCCATGTAACTCTCTGAGAAGAACTACAGTCCAATGTTCTATTTTCTGTCTCACATAAAAAAAGGCAATTTTTCAGCAAAGGGGCAATATGGAGACATAATATGAAAAAAGGGCATTACCTGTAATAGATTTTATTTTCCAAAAATACAGTATATCCTGTCCTATAGGCTCCTCTGCAACGTGGCCTGTAACGTGCCCATCAAGCGGTGATGTTGTGTGCTCAACTTGTGTGTTCCTTGGACCAGTAGAGAATAATAGAGGTGACCATTCTTGGATTCTGTGAATTGATATTTCATATTAACTTTGGAAGATTCCTTACTATTATTTCTTTACATATTTCTTCTGCCCCATTTTCTTTCTCTTCTTCTGGGACTCCAATCACACATGTTACTTGATTGTGTCCCATGGATATCAGATGCTTTAATCCACTTTTCACTCTTTTTTTCTTTGTGTTTTAGTTTGAGTAATTTCTGTTGAACTACTATAAAGTTCACATTTTTTTCTGCTGTGCCCAGTCTATTGAAATGACATTAAAAAAAAAAACAACTCTGTATTTCTCGTTTCATTTTTTTCTAATATGTTGACCTTTCTGCTGAAATCCTCATATGTTCCTGTGTGTTTCACATTAAGCCCTTTAACACATTGATCATGTTGAGTCTTCAGAACCTGTCTGATAATTCTAACATCGGGGTCATTTCTGGGTCTGCTTCTGTTGACCATTTCTTCTCTTGACTCTTATTTTTTCTTGGTCATCCAATTCTTCCATAATTTTTGATGTGTATCAGATAATGTATAAAAAAGTTGAGACTGAAGTAAATAACATTTACCCTCAGAAAGTAATAAATACTTCTTTTAATAAATTCTGTCAGGCGGTTACTGTGGGTGCCTAAGTCAATCCAAGCTGTAGTTGAGCTGGCTCGGGATTTGTTAAAGGCTTAGTTAGATTCAATTCATTCAATTGGTTTCAAATATTTCTGAGGGCACTATCAAGACTTTCCTCTTACAGGAGGGAGGTCTGCATAGAAATCTCTGTGCTTTATACCTCAGCCACCAACTTTCTGAGCCTTGGGAGGTTTCTGTGCTTTACAACCTGGTTGTTACCTTTTTATTCTCTAGGGAGTATTCTTTGATCTCTATTTTTGTCCTTGGCTCTAGTCCTCTCTTGTGAGGTCTTTTCATATCCCCAGCCTTGAAGGGCTCTTGCAGTATGCCATAGAGGAATTTTTCTCTTCTGCAATTCCCTTAGCCTTTGGCAGCCACTGCCTTAGGTACAGACCAGGTTAAAGTCCCAGACTGCTTTGTAGGAGTTTTCTCATCTTTCCTGCGCTGAACCCAGCTTTTAGCTACTGTTGTGTACTTGAAGAAGGCCTGTGTGCACCTTCTTCAAGTTGTGGAGGGAGCACTCTTGCTTGGGGAGCACAGCCTTGGGGTTTATAACCCTTGCACTGAGTGAAGGCCCATGAATTAGAGTTGACAAGTAGTTGTAAACTCCCTTTGTAGCTGGGGCTCTTCGTGTAACAAAATCCTTTGTCTCTCTGATTCCATCTTGTTCAGTCCTGCTTCTTCTTAGTCTTCCATATAGACTTGCTGCTTGAGGCTTGAGGAGATATGAAAGTATGTATCGTTTATCAAAGATTTGCAAAGACTTCCTGATTAGACTCACATCAACTAGCACAATAGTCCTAGGACACCTGCTTGGCCCCTATAGATATCTGATCTATAGTCAATCACCTCTTGCTCCTCCCATTTCCCATTCCTTTGACATAAAAGAAGCCTAAACTCTGTACTTTCTTAAGATAGATTTGGGGGTATCACTAGGGCCCCCATCTCCTCAGTTGGAGCCTTCTGGATCAATAAAACTTTTTTACTTCAAACTCTGACATTTTGAGTTTCGGCCTTTTGAAGTGTCAGATTGGTTAACACTTGGGTTATAAACTGTCACACTTGTCCACATGTGAGACGGCTAAATGGTCAACTAGTTTCTTTTTATCTCTTTCTGTGGCAATCTTCCTCCTACAGCCAATCCACAAGAGATGAAAGCAACTGTCGGCTTTCTCTTCCTAAGAATGTCTCATTACTTCCTGGACGTTAGGTCCTTTAGATGTCTTTGGGGCCTCAGTTCTCTGAAAGGCTTTTTAAAAAGCTATGATTTTGTAGTTTATCTAGCTCCTTTTTAAAAACCTTTTTTCCAAAGATTTTATTTATTTATTTCAGAGGGGGGAAGGGAGGGAGAAAGAGAGCAAGAGAAACAGTGTGTGGTGGCCTCTCACGTACTCCCAACTGGGGACCTGGCCTGCAACGTAGGCATGTGCCCTAGACTGGGAATCGAACTGGGGACCCTTTGGTTCGCAAGCTGACACACAGTTCACTGAGCCACACCAGCCAGGGCAAGCTCCTCATTAGCATAAGTTAAATAGTCTTTTGTGAAATTCTACATCCCAATCCTAAGGAGAAATCCACTGTGTTCATTTGTTTTCTTCCCCCTCAATTTGTTGTAGTTTCTGTTTTCTCTATTAAAGGCTACAACTCCTATCCACTAAAGGTCCTGGCTTCTATAACTGCTCCCTTAAGTTGCCCCTCAGTCTTAAGGGAAATTCTAAGTACCTGCTTTTGCTAGGTATGAGCAGCTTCACCATCTGTTGTTTGCTTCCTTTAACCTTGTTGATACTTTTGAAAAGAGTCCCTTTATTAGGCTCTTCTTAATTATGCTATTTGATGAGCCATCTCCTTCCTGCTGGATCCCTGACTGAAAGGTGGCATTTCTTTGAGAAAAAGAGTGAGATTAAACCCGCAGGGAGATGGTTGAGAGTATTCGAAGAAGACAGAAAAGAAATTGCCATAGTTGGTTGAATATGTTGAAGTGATAGCAATGTTGGTGACATCCAGAAATGGGAAAGGGAAGAATAGATCTCCCTGCTAATACTTCTTTAGTAAGCCTTTGGCTTTTAAAATGGAAATCAAAGCACCAAACTATTGTTTGGGATAGAGGGTCATTTCCCAGATGTATAGTTCCTCTTGGTGTATAGGATATACACCAAGGTATATAGGAAAGGTTAACGTGGAATACAAAAGCTAACGAGTGAATAGGGCCTTCTTAATATGGTAGGGTTTTGAGAGGTTAAGGAGAGGTAAGAAGAGGGCATAGAGAATTCCGAGGAGACGAATTATTTTAATCAGCTGCTATATTTTATATAACATATATTTAGTATTTGCTATCATAGTTTACTCAACATGAATTCTTAGGTTCCATGTATCCATGAAAATGCCTTTCAAAAAACTTTTTTTTTTTTTTTTAGTAGAAGGTACTTTGAAATAACAAAACCTTTATTGGTTTATTTTAATGCCTGGAACATTTGTAGGTATTCAAAATTGTTAGATCTACTAATGATAGATGTCATTATTTGAGCACTTACCTTGTGCCAGGTGCTGTGCAAAAAGCTTGACACAGTTTTAATAACTCAATTTATAGACCAGGAATCTGAGGATACTAGACGCATTTCTACAGTAGACAATAAAGTGATAATGAATTGATTGAGGTGAAGGCTGTCATTTAAAAATTTTCAGTTGCTTGTGAAAAAAATCATTGAAATTCAGGATTGGAAGACATGAATAATCTCTCTTGATTTTCTTTTGTATGCACGTATTCATAAGTTTATTAATATTTTGCAAATCCCTGTAGGATAAATCTGGCCTGACAGGAGTCACAACTACCTTTCCTATTTTCTGAGAGATTTTATACTCTCCTTTTATCCTTTCACTGATTACTTTCTTTTCATTTGTGTACACTTCATTTGCTGCTTTAAATATCTGACATTCATTCATTTATTGATTTATTTATGACTTCCTTCCTTCATTAATTCAAACAAGGATTGGTGCTTCATTTTAAAATCTCATTCAAAATGGTGCCACGTCATCCACCAGGGCCGACAACTGCTAGGTGCTGTCCGGTTTTCTCCTAGCCAGCGCGGATCTCCATCGAGCTCCGCCCTCTTCTCCTCACCTGCTTCCTGGAAAACCACAGAGAGACCAAGTCACACGCTTTGGCCTGCGGCTTCCTCCCCCTCGCCCCAGGGCTGCCCCGCCCCTCCCGGATCCCAACTGGCTGAGCTCATTTATTTGCATATTTCTACCTTTGTTCCCTGCTGGCGGCCAATCAGCGCGCGGGGCGAGGCGGGGGTGCTGGGCGGGGCTCTGGCTCCAGCTGCAGCGGTCGCAGGTTCCCGAGCAAGTCAGAGTCGCCGCGGGCGCGTCGCGCGCTGCTACCCCAGCCTCGGGCCCCCCACTGGTGTCCGCGCTGCCTCTAGGGCTCGCCCAGGCCCCGAAGGGAAAGACAAAGAGGCTGTCCGGGAGCGTCCCCCGGAGCCAGATTTACCTGCAGTGCCCGGAACCACAGGCTTCAAGATGGTTTGCGGGGGCTTTGCGTGTTCCAAGAACTGCCTGTGCGCACTCAACCTGCTCTACACTGTGAGTATCCCGAGCTCGTTCTGGGTTCGGGGGCTTTGCACCTGCTCGATCGGTGCTCCTTGGCTTGCCTGCCTGGCCAGTGACTGTCTTCATCCCGCGCCCCCTTCACGTCTTCCCACGCTTTGCGCGTCCCGGGCCTCGCCATCAGCCCCCAACGACGACCAGGAGCCGGCGCTTGTCGCAGTATCTTCCTTTCCCTTATTGTTGAAGCCTCCGTCTTTCTGGCTTGCTAGCTTGTCTCTGCCACATTGCTCTACCCCGCCCCCTCACCCACTGCCTTGTCTTTCAGTTATTTGACCAGTCCTTCCCACTTTCCTCTTGCTGCCTCTTCTAGTACTCGGCTCTTGGCTTTCAAATCCATCTGGGGCGGGTTAGGAGGCTGGAGAGCCACTTTAGGTCTGAGGACAGTTTTTCAAAATAGCGTAATCTGAAACTGACAAGGTGGCATGTGGACCCTGTGCATCTAGGTTAGCTCTACGTGCTGCTGTGATTTTAATTGAGGCCACAGAGGAGGTTCACAGGATATCCGCAGCTTCCGAAGTTTGTTTTGCACTTACATAAAGGGATGCCTTTTTTGTTTTCTCGCCAGTTTTGCTCATACTGGATGCTTTTTCCATATGTCTCCTCTCTTATCAATAGCCTAACTCCATTTTAAACGAAATCTTCCAGTAAATACGCGAGCCTCCACCCAAGTTATTTCTTTCCCTGCCAACCAGCTTGTCTTTTAGTTTTAACGCTGCAGTCTCTCTCTGATTTTTGAGGCGCAATTCTGGGTGAACAGGAGGATGCGAGGGCAGGTTGCCTTTTATTGATTGCCTACCACATCTCAGACTTGACATACGAGATTTTCGTTCGTCATACTGACATCCATCCCAGGCAAGGGGCATTGTTTGAATCCATAAGATAACAGACCAAAATGGGTCTTAATAAGTTTACATAGCTGGTAGCTGGTGAGTCAGGAGTAGAACCCAGGCCGTGAAATACAGATCTGTCCACAGGCTTCTCTACCAAATGAAACTACGTCTTCTGTCATCATCCCTCCATCATATAGCCTTGCCTCCTTCTATAAATACACCTGGCGTTTTGCAGCAGCCACCCCTAAAACAAACCCAGCTCTCTTGCAATAGCAGAGAGCTAGGCCATCTGTGCAGGCTTAGGTTACATCTTTGGAATGGAGAGGCTGCCTTGTGGTCACCAACAGGAGAGAGAGGCTGGGTCAGTTTACCATTACTTGTCCTTTGTGTGTGAACAGGGATGCAAAGCTTTGAAGGCAAGAGAGAAGCTGGAATAAAGTATGCTTTTCTTGGTGGATAGGAATCTAAACAACATGGTCACCGATGGTAGACTTGGGGAAAACAATTCTAGAATAGCTACCTTGTGATACAGCTTCTTGTAATTGGAGAAACACGACAAGCCTCAGATTAAAATCCACCTTTGTCTTACCTGTAGCATGCTTATCACATTGATTATTTATTAAGTAAATGCTGACCAGTACTCCAGGTCTTTCCTTTTATTAGCATGAATGATCTGCTTAGAACTTCAGATTCTTCATTTTGTGCTCTGACCTTTGCCATCCCACGATGACTTAGTCACCTGTTCACCAGATACTTAACCTTGTAGTGTCTGTTTATACACAGTAGAAGGTCTACTTTCCATAGTTACTTGACTGAGGTGTCTGTATTTATGTGTAATATGTATATTTTTAAAAAGTTGACTATTTTTAAATCTAGTTCTCTTGCTTTCAAATGATACCCTTTCTAGTTGTATTTGTTGTGTATCAGGAAAGCAAGTAGAAAGGTGATTCTAAAGTAACATCAAGGCTTTTATATCGGTTCTAAATTATTGAACTTCAAAGTATATTCTATTGATTTAAGAGCTATGCAGTAAAGAATAATTGGGAATTCACAGGACTATAGAAATGGTTAGCCTTTTAAGTCCTAGACTTTGTAGCAAAAGGATATTTCTTAAAATGAATTAGTGTCTACTTCTTAAACATTGTGAACAAGGTAAAATAATTTCAGCAATTTAAGTTGGAGATGAACAAAAGGTAAAAGTAGGACCAGGTCTTAAATAGATGCTGAAAATGTGCCATGGCTATTATTACGATTTTGTATTTTTCCTGCTGTCTCCCTCCATATTTTAATGAGAAATGTGAGGTGGTCGAGGGGGCTGTGAGGTTGAAGACTTGGGAGACATTTCTTTTTCAGGCAAGAATAGGAGGACCCTTGATAGGTTCCAGTCCTACTTGAGTCACTACCGCTAAATTAGGCTCAAAATTGCAGGATTAGAACTGGTCATTTCTAAAAGTGGTTAGTAAAACCAAAATTGCATACGGAGTGGCAGGGGTAAAGGCAATGGCCTGCCGCATCATCTCTCTCTGGTGTTGAAGCATTTTCTTGAGGAATTTAGGACTCTGACTCAACCAGTCAACCTGTCCCTGTACTCCGACGGCCTGCTAATAAGCCTGAGATTACGGCAGAAATTCTGATCAGTCCAGAAAGCATGTCGCTAAAATAGGTTGGAAGGAACGTTCCCCAAACTTCTCATGGACATTTGATTACTAGAAAAAGGTGCAGTTGTTTTTTGTTGTCATTTTGGTGGTTTTAATGAATAGGATCCTTAGTACTGAGCAACTTTAAATGCAGTGAATACAAACAGCTTTAAGTATGGGAAGGAGGGGAGAAGCTAATCTCATTGTGCACCTTCATGGTGTTATAAGGAAGTCAGTGATTTGCTTCAGAATGTCGAACATTTAAAGGAACTGAAAATTTCTTCTTGAGTACCGACTATGTGCTAAGCACAGCTCTCAGTCTAGGAGTACAACAGTGAACCAAACAGGGCTTTAAAAGCAGTATGTTTTATTAAGCTTCTCTTTTCTTTACTGTATTTCCTACATATGATCTCAAGAGCTTTATTCAGTCTATAAACATTTGCTACTGGGTGCAGTTTGCTGAGAACTGTGGGAAAGAACAAATGATATCAATACATAGGCGAATACCTATCCTGTGAAGACAAGGTCTAGATGAGATGCAGGGAGTGGGAAAATTAAATGCTGTATATGGGAGGGACTGCCCCAGGTGACATAACATTTAGGGTAGATCGTGGGTTAGAGAAATGAAGAAATGTAGAAATAACATGAGTCCTTTTTTCTTTTTTTTACAATGTTGGATAGAAATACAAATTAAAACTATTTTGGGAAAATGGTTTATTTTATTTTTAATTGTTTATTTTAAAGTAATTTTGGTGTAAAATATTTTGACTAATAGTGAAAAACAACTTTTTAAAATTATACTTAGTGATTTGTGGGGAATTTTAGGAAATATGAAATAAATGAGGTATTATAGTATGTATAAAATTTTGAAGATTTATAACATCTCCTTGTGTTTCTTAAGCAGAGAAAAGACTTTTAGGAATTGCACTATTGAAGTTATATGTAGATTATATATGTAGTTTTAATTAAGAATGTAAGGAACAGAAAAGTTAAAATGCGCTCTTAAAACTAGGAAGGCAATTTCAGGTTTGTATTTTTGTGTCCTTTTCCATATTAATTCTGACTAATAAAATTTTTCTGTTTGTTTCTGTTGATTTTTTTCTTTTCCATTTTTTCCATACCTTTGAGTGCTTTGATAAAAATCAACATGCAGATCAAAAGTTATACTGATTTCTATTCATTCTAAGATACATATTGTAATATCTCTGACATTGGGATTGACTTAAAATAGCTAATCATGCCATCTTTATCAGATAAAAATATATATCTGTGCAATCTACAGGGAGAAATAGTACTGGATTCGAGAAGAAAACTCAAGTTTGAATGCTAACTCTACAACTTGCTTGAAATGTAACCTTGGACAAACAGGTTATTTGAGCTTGGTTTTATTTATTTGTTTATTTTCCGTTATAAACTGGTGATTTTTTTTACTCTTCCCTTAGGGGGTTGTAGTGAGGATAAAATGGGAGAATATGGAAAAATGCTTTGGGTGGACTACAGAAAAGAAAATTACATTGTTACATCTTAAGCTGGAAAAGTTCAATTATTTTAAATTTTTAAATTTAAAGCTTGCATGTTATCATAAAGAAAATTTAAAACTGAGGATTTCTAACACACTAAGGCTAGTGTTAACTCATGTGGGCTCTAGGGAGACGAGTTTATACACTTGAAATGTTAATATTAATCTTTCAGCTGTTAAAAAAAGGACTGAGATGTGGTAGGTATAAAGTTGCAATGATTCACCTGATTTTTTTTTTTTTCTGAGAACTGTTCTGGTTATTAGAATGTTCTGATTTTGTTCAATCTCAACTGCAAAATAAATGAAAAATCCTAGTACCTAAGCCAAAGAAAAACTTATTCCTTTTCAGGACTTATTTATTGCAGTTGCTTTTAAATTTTTGCATTTAGCATTTCTCAAAATTCTAATCATCATCTTCCAAATTATTCTTGTTTGATATTTTAGTATGTAGTTAGGTTTATGTTACTTCTCTGTGTTCAAACTACTGAATGAATTTAAAATATGTAAGTGGTTACTGAATATATACTTGCATTTTGAATTTTAAAGTGATTTATTATTTTCACAAGATGTTGTGCTGATATTTATAGTCTAACTCTGTGCCAATTATGTTTGAAAATTTCCCAATTTTGATTTAAACACACACTAAAAAAAATGTGCCATTTATGCCATTTCTCATTTGAAATGCTATCGACTTTTCACAAAGTTTAACTACATAATTAAGAGGCATTTCCAAAGAAACAATTTTGGGAAAAATTGTATTTCAGCCCATGTTTGGAAAGTGAGATATGAATATCTTAGTGGCTTAATTTTACAAACAGTTTCAGGTGGTTTAAAAGTGGGCCATTGTGTGCCCTGACTGGGTGGATCAGTTGGTTGAAGGGTCCTTCTGTAAACCAGAAGGTCGCAGGTTCAATTTCTGGTCAGGGCACATGCCTGGGTTGTGGGTTTGAAGAGGTGCCGATCAATATTTCTCTCTTATATTGATATTTT